TTTAGTGAAAAATGAAATTTCACCATCTTCAAACTATAAAACTTCACTACTTTAAAATAAAGAAATTTCAAATTCAAACCCAAAAATTGCAAAATAAAAAAATAAAAATGGAGGCCAATTACTAAATTTCGAATTAAAACAAGAAGTGAAAAATGTGAGTTTAATTTGTTGTAAAACTCCTTAGAGTCAGATTTTAAAAAAATGGCATTCACATGAAAACATGTGAATTTAAGAAATAAGTTGAAAACCACTCATCATTGAACAAAAAAAAGCTCAATCAGGAAGAGTAATAAGACCTCAGCTTTGAAGAGGAAGAGGTCGCCAATGCAGAAAAATCATCATTGGTATCAAAATTATGTTGCCTGTGTTGAGAAGTCGTTAAAATCACCCATGTCAAAGGCACGTGGGAGTGATTAGTTTTACTAATCAACCCCGTTGATCTAAGACCTCAACTTTGAAAAATAACCTTGTGGAATTTGTTTTACCGAATAGTTTTCTTGACCCCTGATCTAAAATATTTTACTACAACATTTTCCTAAAATTTTATATGCAACCCAAAAGACGAGAGAAATATGCAACAAAGATTGCCTTTAGGACCCCTCTCAGGAATTTCTTATACACGAACATGTCTTTCAATCTAAATAATGTTGGGACAACATATAAAAGGGCAATGACTGAAAACTAAATAATGTTGGGACAACATACAAAAGGGCAATGACTGCAATTTTTCATGATACGCCTCACCATATGTCAAGGATTATGTCAATAGTTTGGTGGTAAAATCCAAAAGAGAAGAAGATCATTTCGATCACCTTGAAAAGTGTTTAAGAGATGCAGAAAGTTTAAGATGAGGATGAATTTGCTCAAGTATGCGCTTGGGATTATCTTTGAGAAGTTCCTTGGGTTCATGTTTCATAGGCATGACATCAAGGCAAATGATGTAAGATCAAGGCAATTATGGAAATGCTAGCACCCCACTTCCAAAAATCATTGAAGAGGTTCCCCGAAAAAGCATTAGACCTTAGACTATACATAGCTACTTAGATGGAGATGACATTTTCCTTAGAAATCTATAGAGAGGGAATGTGAAGTTTTTAATAGAGCGAGAAACACCAAAAAGCCTTTGAAGCATTCAAAGTCAACTTGGCCTCATCAAAAAGGTGTAAGAGACTGAAGCGAGGTACACGCTAATAGAGAGACATTGTCTAGCTTTGTTTTTTACAACTCCAAATTTCGACACTATTTCCTAGCTCATCAAATTCAAATTGTCACTCGCAGCTATCCGATGAGGTACCTATTGAGCAAGTGTGCTCTAATGAGAAGACTGGCTTGGTGGTTGCTGGCCCTAGTGGAGTTTGAGTTGAACTGTGTCTTGCCTGAGGCTATCAAGAGCCAAACTCTGGAGGACTTTTTAGGCAGTTTCCAAATGCGATTCACTAGCCAGTTAATGATCCACATCCAGGAGATGAATTTGAAGCAACTCATCAGGGACTAAAAATTCAAAATAGATCAACTGGAAGAAATCATCAAGCAAGTATTCATGGGAGTTTTAACTTCTGCTGTTGAATGTGAACTGTTGCTTTAACATCCTATTTGTGTTGGTGATATGCAGAGTGCCTAACATGACAAACAGAAACTGGTTTGTATTGAGTTGTAGTTTGTGTAGCAATAATGGATTGCCAATGGCTTGGGGTTGTAGTACACATGGCATCACCCCAAACTCTTATATGAGGTGGGGTGTTCAAACCACGCTAGGCGAGGATGAGTGAGAGAAGCTTCAATATGTCCCATTTGTCACCTGTTTTGGATTCACTCGCTAATATAAACTATATTTGTGGATTTGCATACCCTTAGGAGTATGTTAGGTATAAACTATATTTGAATCCTCAAAAAATACAATAATGGACTGATTTGAGAGGTAACAAGAAGTAAATATTAGGCATAATTATGATACTATATAGCAGTATCATCAACCAATGAGGAATTTCACATTGCGGTAATGGGGACTACATGGTTGAGTAAGTTAGAGATTAGAGATGTTCACCTAAATCCATTTGCAATAATTTATTAGTCAGTAACACCACATACAATGATATTATCGTTACACTTAATATTTGTCCCGTGCGAATGTTTGTTTAATCTCTCTCTCTCTAACTTCATACATGTACTATATTTCTATTAATTATATTTTACTATTTCCATCATGTTGAAATATTAATGTTCATCACGCCACTATGTAATATTTTATGTCATGAATATGACATAATAACTGATGACAACTTAAACTTTCCTTCTTGCTTCAAAACTGCTTTTTCTCAGAACTCACCATTATTTCCCTTCTTTCTTTGTTTCTTTTTTCAGGAAAAATAACCACCTCAAACTTAACCTCTTGAGTGCCACAACCAGCAAACCTTTGTTGGCTGTTCACATATTTGTTGCTGCATGGTAATTTAGCTTAGAAGAAATCTCATTTTAAGTATTTTCATTTAACAATCTTTTGATCTTATCGTCTCTTAAAAGCCAAGACAAAAAATTTGAAAACTCCACAAAAACGGTTGATCCTAGGCAGCCAAGAAACACAACCAAAGCAGCTACAAATATGAAGGGAGCAATGACCCTTCTCGAAGTAACCCCCAAAAAACTACTAATGCTATGTTTGGTTTGTGGGATTTGAGAAGGGATTTGGAAAGGAAAAAGAAAAAGACAGATGAAAAGTGAATAAAATATACCTACATTTCACCTAATTTTACACACATTTTCTCTTTCATTTTCTAAATCTCTTCCTAAATCCTCCAACCAAACACAACATTAGTATATTTACCTTGCTATTAATCTCATGAGTATTACATTTATGTTGTGGTTGGTTCAAGGATTTGTGAATGGATTTGGAAAAGAAAAGAGAAAAGGACGGTGAAATGTAAATAAAACACATTTACATTTCACATAATTTCACACGCCTTTTCTCTTTTTCTTTCTAAATCCCTCCTTAAATCCTTCGACCAAATACAGCCTTAGGGGGTATTTGTTTGATGGGAATCAAAGGTGGGAATGCGAATTTTTCCATTCCAATCCACCAATTTCCCTTGCATGATGGTAGTGGGTATCTTATAACCGAGATGAGTGGTATTCTCATTCTCATTTATTTAAGAATATTCTTTTGAAAGCTAGTCTGTAATTAATTCTATTCCTTCCTTGTATTATTAAACCAAGTATCTTGACATGCTCATTAAGTTTCCTCTTCAATACACCTAGTGCATCCAAACATGAACCTGAGACTATTGAATTCCCTGGTATTCCCCCAGCACATCTCATAACCTAGTATGAGATGTTGATTCTTTAACTCTCATTCCTGGCCACCAAACATACCTTTACTATAACAGAATATAAACAAACATTAGCAAGCATTACTGCTTCCAGGAAAAAAGAAGAGAGAATTTTGAAGCGCCTTAAGCAAGATGAAGAATAGAAAGTGATTTCAAATATTCAGCTTTCAGTCTTCAACTAACATAAGTTCCATGCACATTAATGACAACAAAGAAAATGAAGGACAAAAGGTGATTTCAAAATTACAAATTTATAAGCTTTTTTCTTTTCTTTTCTGTTCTTTTCCCTTTTTGTTAACTTCCATTTTTTTTTTCCCCAACTAGACTTGTAAACAAATACCCTCAATATAACACAAATATCTTACAAATAGTTGTGAAGCTTACAGATCTTCTCTTAGCATATTCAAAAACAATTTTTTTTAAGTACATCAAGAACATCAGATATCTTATATCTACGTAAGGGGAGGGGATGCCATGACTCAAACTCATGATCTGATGAGCAGGGTTGAATTCTGTTAACATCCCTTAACATAAAACCTAGAAGAAATAAACCTAGTGTAGGTTTGAGGAAATAGATTTCTGTTTCTCCATTGGATATGTCCTTTTCAGTCAACAACAAAAAAATTGATAAAACACAGGTTACCTAGAAAATGGACCACAAGATGAGTTTAGACTTTAGAAACCATTTTTTATTTGTCTCATTGAGTGAAAATGCGACCATCTTCTCCTCCTACCAGGTTCAAGCTCCACTATCACGAACTGGAAGAAATTTCCTTCATCCTCATACCCCTAGACATACCATTTGACACAATACAAAACTATTCTTGATTTAAAGGTGATTATTTAAAATTAAAAACATAACAATCATTCTAACTTTAAACCTCAAGAAGCATTATCCATGTTCACTAGCTTTCACTGATTATTTAAAATTAAGGTTCGTTTGGCAATTGAAGACTTAGCCCAAAAAAAAATCAAAAAGTTACTGAAAAAACCAAAAATCTATATAAAAAAGGTCAAAAACTCCTTCCCTTCTCTCCGTTTTACATTCTTTTTTTTTAAAAGTCAAAAAATCATTTCCAATCACTTTCTATACTTTCACCTCATATTTTAGTTAAAAAGCCACTTTTCGAACCAACCCAAAAACCCAATCATCCATGCAGTAGTTGTAGGCACAAATCCTGCAGTTTGCAAAGGCCATGGGGAGGCATCTACAGCCTCGTATCATCGAAGAGACTCGAGCTACTTCATCAGTAGCTAATAATCAAAGGATAACCATATAAATTAACTTTATGACTCTCCAATAATTGGGGTGTCAAAAAAGTTTTTCAACAAGTTCATGACAAATTTGAGGTTCACAGAATACACATATTGCAGGGGCATAGCCTACAATTCTAGAGATCAAGCTGCCAATGATCTCTACCAATCAAGATTCCAGCAAATCAATGTGTTCAGATTCTACGAGGGTCCAAAAAATTGATTTGAGTTCCTAGACATCCATATGCTTACAACTCGAATTTAAGCCTACTCCAATTGCTTACAATATTCAGTACAGAAAACACAGCATATATTTCAAAAAATTCAATATTTTTTATTCTTTTTTCTTTTTTTTTTTTGGGTTTGGGGGGGGGGGGGGGGGGGGACTTTTCTATCGGAACATCCATTCCATACACCAAAACAAACAAACAAACAAAATTTAAATAATACAACCCCAAAAATATATAATTTATATAGGCCATGCCCAACATTCGTAATCTATCTCAGATACTACAAAATGCTTTAAAATAAACTACTTAAAAAATCAAACAGCTTCGAATCCAAATTTTTCTCTCTTTCAATCTCTATAATTTGGTCTTATAATGACAAGTCTGGTTCGTAACACTTCTATTCCCCACACTGATGTTCAAATCGCAAGTCGTGTAAGAAACCAAATGAATCTTGAAAATCAATATGTGAACTTTTCCGGACATTCTAGTAAAGGTACTGAAAGGCAACGTACCGGACATTACGTCGGAATACACATCGGAATTCGAAAGCAACCGATCCGCCAACACCGTCAGCGTCATATTCATCGGTAGGGTTTCTCCCGCTGATATCTCGCCGGCCGGAACAGGAACATCTCCAACCACTTCTCCCCTGTATTTCAACAAAGCTGAGGAGTTGGTGTACTTGAATCCGACCTTGTTAGGGTTTTTAATCGAGAGATTGACATCGAGAGAGACATTCAAGTTCACTCTGAGCCTCATGATGTCGAGAGAGAATTTGAGATCTTTGACAGCAATGGAATTGACGGTGTTGATTGGATGTTTGGCTTTGAAGACGGTGAACCCTAACACTACGAGTAGAATAACAATGACCAAAACCACCGCAATCACCGCTAAACATATGTTTCTTCTGCGATTCCGAGCGTTTTCAGGACGAGCTCCGATTGATTTCGCGTCTTTCGTAGACTCTACTTCCATTTTCTTTGTTTTCTGAAATCAAATCGAATTGGTTGAATTGAATTAGGCTGATAATATACAGAATGCACAATATATATAGAGATTTGTGTGTATGTATACAGTATACTATTTATTGTACATAGAGTTTGTTTGATCAATAATCAATGCGAAGGTGGACTATGAGTGTTGTATGTGATTAGGGTTTTGAGATCAACAAACAACTAATTTTGTTATCAATGAAGGAGGATGGGGAGGGAGAGGGAGAACAGACGGTTGGCTGGTAATGGGAACTCAATAAATGTTGAGAAAATAGAGGAGGAGAGGAGAGAGATTTTACAGATTTTTTCGGCTAATCGCAACGGGAGTACCTCCACGTGTTACCATTAATCTGGTGCTTGCTTACTCACGTTCGTTTGGAATTAGGATAATAATGTTAGAATATCAATTTTTCTATTAAATAAATAATTAAATATTTTATCTGAGTATGTGATTTGTAATTTTGTGAATCTTACATAATGGCCCTGTTTAGTAGGGTTTATTTTTAATTTATTTTAATTTTTAAATTTAAGTTATTTTGATATGTTTGGTTCAACTTAATAATACAGCTTATAACTTTTTGTATGTCAAAAATCAACTTATTCTTTTAGTGGGGGAAGAAAAACTTAATTTATAAGTCAAAAATCAGCTTATGTTTACAGTTATAAGTTATAAGCTGTTAGACTATAAGTTATAATCACTTTCTCACAGCTCTACCAAACGGGATCAATATAAGATATTCATTTATTTATTTGATAGAAAATTTAAAACCTATAACATTTTCCTTAGAATTATGAGAGGATTCATGTTTGGTTTAACTAACATTTCACAAAATTAACGTCCCCGTTTGGTTTAATTTTGGGGAGTTTTAAAATGGGAGCAGCTTGCCTCTAATCTGAGATCAAATTAGATGGTATTGTTGGACTCGTGAGGACCCACTACGGATCCCGTTTCAATAATTCGAACCATTCAATGTGTAAAACTCGTTGAGTACTATATGGCTGTAAAAAATCACGTTGATCGAATATCGATAGCTATATAATCAAATCAGTTTTGTATTAAAAAAACGAACAGTGAACAAATTAACGGTTGACAGAAAACTGATTCAATGAAATAGCTATCGATATCCGATCAACGTGATATTTTACAAGCATATAGTACTCGACGAATTTTACACATTGAACGGTTCGGATTATCAAAACGGGATCCGTGGTGGACCCCCAAGGACCCAACAGACTAGAGGCAAGCTACTCCTTTTTAAATTTTAAAATTTATTTAGTTTATAATTTTTTAAAAATTATTTTCAGTTACTTTCTATACCTCCTCTCTCTTTCTTTTACATCAATCAACTAATTTTTTTTTTTCCTTTCGATTCATTGGTCGTAGGGCACAATCATGTGATTAATAGAGAGATAGATCCATAATTTTATGCTGGATGATTGAAGAATATGTGGAGATACGAGGGTTTGTGATTAACCTGAGGCATGGCCACGTGGTACCCAGAATATGTGGAGATACGAGGGTTTGTGATTAACCTGAGGCATGGCCACGTGGTACCCTGGGATCCACCAATAATTTTTTCATTCTCTCATATCATACACATTTTTTTATCTTGCACTCATTTATTCAAGGGCCATTTACATACAAGTCTCATTTTGTGAACTTATAATCCACTAAGTCCTAGATAAAATTATTTGCTCTTTCAGGTCCTATTAATTTTTAATAGACCAATTTACCCTTCCAACAAACTTACATCATTCTCCTCCTTCCATGTGAGATAATCATCATAGTATCTTCACTCATATTTGCAGCCGACCCTCTATTTCGGCCACCCCTACAACCCTGGTCTTCAAGAACTAGGAACAACCAGAACATTGAGCAATGAGATCGCAAATCGCGATTATGCGAAGGGTCGTGAAATGAAATCGGGATGATTCAAGTCAAATCTTGATCAAAATCATGTTACAAAGTTGACGTTAGTGCAAAACAGCAGTGCGAAGCAAAACAGGTGGTGCGAAGTTAACTTGTGTTTGTGATGGGCTTGCATGGGTTGCGATGATCAGATTGCAACATTCAACAGACCTTGGAAAGAACAATTGAATTGAGATCGCAACTCAAGAGTCACATTGCTCCCAGATCTAGTATTCAAATCGAGTTTTCGACTTCACCCAAGACCTTCGCAACTCAAGAGTCACACTGTTTCCAGATTTGGGATTCGAATCTCACCCAAGACCTTCGAATCAAGTTCAGATCTCATCTAGGGTTTCATATTCATGTTCGGATCGCAACTAGGACTTCAAGTTGAAGTTGATTTGATGTAGCAAAATCGATTTTTCCTTAGATCTGAGTTTGCGAAGTTCAATTTCTCCTTAGATTTGAACTCACGAAATTCGATTTTCGTTCTAGATATGCATTCATGATGCTCGATTTCAAGTTCTAACCAACAACTATGGTTCGAAATGTGCAAAATCTCAACTCCAAGACTCGTGATGAAGTTCGAATCAACTCAATCATAGTCGTTTTTGAAATTGAGAACCTTCTCAGTTTAAAATATTCTCAATTTTAATCATAAAAAAAGTTGAAAATTTTCTCAAAATTGATAATTATAAATTTCTTAGTTTTGATAATAGTCTCAGTTCATATTAGAAAAAAAAAAAAAATTTGTGAAAAATTCGATTTTCGTTCTAGATATGCATTCATGATGCTCGATTTCAAGTTCTAACCAACAACTATGGTTCGAAATGTGCAAAATCTCAACTCCAAGACTCGTGATGAAGTTCGAATCAACTCAATCATAGTCGTTTTTGAAATTGAGAACCTTCTCAGTTTAAAATATTCTCAATTTTAATCATAAAAAAAGTTGAAAAATTTCTCAAAATTGATAATTATAAATTTCTTAGTTTTGATAATAGTCTCAGTTCATATTAGAAAAAAAAAATTTGTGAAATTTTTTAGTTTTGATAATTATAAATTGAGAACATTCTCAGTTTTGAAATTGAGAACATTCTCAATTTTGGGATTAAATGGCAAAACGTCTTTTTACCTCTAAATGGGATTTATTGGTTCAAAAACTTTTTGATAGGACCTAAGCTACCACTAAATATGTAGATAGGATTTTTAGATAATTAATCCTTTATTCAATTACCAAAAAATTACAAATCATCGCAAATTACAAAACTCTAAATTACAAAAACTTCAACTATAAAATTATAAAGCTATTTTCAAAATATACAACTAAATAAATTTTAAAATTTCTTTTCAAAAAGAAAATTTTGGCTAAAATCCCCTAGGCCCAACATAGTGGGTAAAGGAGAACCCAAAATATTTTACATCCCTCTCCCAATATCTCATAATCAATTTTATTTTAATTATTTTTATCACATAAATTGTAAGAAAAAAAATACGTCTAACATCATGCATATATATTTTGAAAATTATAATGAAATCATCAAATAATGATTTCAATTTAAAAAATATTGCCAAAACATTCCACATCATAACAATAACCCAAATGTAAGGTTTTAGGAAACATTGAAAGGGAGAAGACACCAACAAACATTGAGGGCAACGCCACCAAACATTGAGAGAGCAATCGCTCTCACATAGCGTGAAAGGCTTCAAGTAGAGAAAGGGCATATACTACCAAAATAATTTATGCGACAAGTTATTTGGTGTTCAATTGAAAGAAAAAAAAAAAAAAAACTGATAAGAAAAAAATTAAAGAAAAATATATCTTTAAGAATGTCAAACAAATTAAATTACTTGAACTAGATTTATGTTTGACTTACAAAAGAGTGTTCGAGGTCAACTCTTTTAATAAACAAATCAAAATTGAGTATAATTTTAAACGCGTTAAGTTTTTTAAGTCAAACTTAAATAACTTATTATTCAGCTTGATAAACTCAAAACAAAGTATTCGAGTTCAACCTTTATGAAAATAAGTTAAATTTGAATATAATTTAAACTCGTTAAATTATTAAATCAAACTTAAATAGCTTACTATTCGACTTAACTTGGCTTGTTTTCAACTCTAGATTTCTTTAATTCACTCAGTTTAAGCTTAGTGTAACAATTCAAATCTGTAATTAACTACTGATCTGTAATTAAGAATGCTAACTAAGTGTTTAGAATGAAATTATGTACTAATTATGTATTTTGTAGGGGTGGGCAACGGTTTATCCGAACCGCTCAAACCACCTAATCCGCATATAAATGGGCGGTTTCGCAAACATAATGAGGGCGGATGCGGTTTGAAATATGACAAATTTGTGGGTTGCGGGTGGGTCACAGGTTAAACCCACAACCTGCAAAAACCTCCTGCACTTTAATTATTATTATTATTTTTTTTTTTATATACCAACTTTGTAACTTTAACAGGAGCACCATTATGTTCTCTATGACACTAGGATCTTTATTTTTAAGTATTTCTCAACTTTCTTAATGCTGTAGAATTATCAAGTCCTAAACTTGGTTTCTTATATGATTTTCATTGGTGACTCATCTACTTTTTCCTAATAAAATTTTCCTTCTGGTGATTGATGGAGCTTCTAATTTGATTATTGATTACTGAACTGGCAATTCTAATTGAGTACAACTTTTAATGCATTGATATACATTTTTTAATGCATTGATATACATTTTTTTTTATGGAAAAAATGCTAATGTAGGGTCCTTTGTTTTGGGTACTTTCATTTAATGCATTGATATTCAATTTTTATTTGTAAACTCATCAGAAAATTGTTGTCAAATGATCACAAATATATAAAATGAATATGATGCCTAAATTCGATAGGAAAAAAAAACTCAAAAATTAATTTTTAAAGAAAAAAGTGTAAACCACAAACCACCCGCAACCATCCGCACATTTGAAAACCTTACCCGCACAAACCACAAACCGCACTGTGGACAGTTGCGGGTTGACTTTTTCCCAGACCACATAGATACGGGCAGGTCAAAACCAAACCGCAAACCGCACAAAATTGATCCGTGAGCACCTCTAGTATTTTGTATGCTATTTGGCTTTCTATCTATTACTTGTAGAATTATATGCCTGGAATTCTGCTTTGATTTGAAGATCGAAAGCCTTATCGACATTCGAAACTGAAATTGATTACAGCGATATGTTATTTGGAATATTTAGAACACTATGGTAAGTTTAATTAAAATTTGATTCAGTTAATTGTATTTAATTGGTTTAATATTCTAATTATTGCAAAAAGCCACTCTAGCTATAAATATGAACCATAAGCTCATTTGAGCTCATCTCTTCATCATTTTGAGCAACCAAAATCTGAGATTATACTTTTAGAAAGAGAGATAACTCTCATCTAGAGAGAGAAAAAGTGAGTAGAGATTGAAGAAAACTTGAAGATATAGCTTGGGATGGTCAATTTTGCTAGAATTGGTGTGTTTGAT